AATAACTTATCCCAGCAAACACACAGAAAAGTTGAAACTCAGGGAACCTTGTTAAGTTGTATCCAAATTCATAATAATACTGCCTGCTCCTGTCTGTCTTTAACCTGGCCTTTAGGGGGTTTAGTATCCTTCATTTACAATTTCTTCTTGGATCTGATGAAGTAAATACAGACACGGAAGTCAAGCTGAGACAACAACTAGATTAGATGTGATTTTATTGAATGGTGGAGTCGGCATGGAGTGCCAATCGCTGACACCTGCCTCCAAGTTTCTATGTTCAGAATTTGTTGATATTTTGAGGATAATTTGGCTGTAACTACCAAGACAAACCATTCCTTCTATTCTGATTCTACACTAGTTTCACAGAATAAAAGAATTTAACAGAAAGAGGACATTCAACACCTCCTGTCTGTACCAGCTCCCAAAACAGCTAGACAGCTAATCCCATTCTCCAGCCCTATCTCCATAACCCTCTAAATTCATCACTATATATCTAGTTCTCTTTTGGAACCTCGTATGAAACCTGCCTCAACCACCCAGGCAGCACATTCCAATCTGAACAACTATCCAAGCAAAGAAGTTTCTCCCTTAACTCTTAACTCTCTCACTGACAATCCTGAAATTGTGACCCTTTGTTAACTGACATGCCAACTAATGGAAACAGAATATCCTTCTTTACCCTGTCAAATTTGTTCATAATTTGTAACACCTCAGTTAGGTCACCTCTTAATCTTCTGCACTCCAAAGAGAATAAGTGCAATTTCTATATTTTTTCTGTGCATCTGAAATCCCTCATTCCTTTTGTAAATCTCCTTTGAACTCGCTCCAGAGCTTTAACGTGCTTCCTTAATTAAGGTGTCCAGAACTGAACACAATACTCCAAATGTGATCTGACCAATGATTTATACAGGAGTAGCATCACTTCCTTGTTGTTATACTCTATGCCTGTATTCATAAGCCCAAGGATCCTATAGCCTTCTTAACAACTGTTTCAACTTGCTTGGTCACCTCCAGAGAATCATGCACACAAACCCTGAGGTGCCTCTGCTTCAGTGCTCCCCTCAAATTTGTACCATTGAGTCTGTATTGTCTCTCCTTGTTTCTTCTCCCAAAATGCATTATCTCACTTTTTTCTGTATTAAAATTCATCTGCCAAGTGTCTGCCCATTTGATCAACTTGTTAACGTCCCTCTGAAGTTGCTCAGTGTCATCCTCACAATTCACTAGTCTCCCTCACTTAATATCATCTGCAAATTTAGAGATTTTGATTTCAACACCCATCTCCAAATTGTTTATACAACTCAGGAAAAGCAAAGGTCTCAACTCCAATCCCCAGGAAACCTCACTTCCAACTCACCTCCAGTCTGAGAAATGCCCATCTATTCCTACCCTCTGTTTCCTATCCTTTAGCTGGCGTCAAATCCATGCTGCCAAAGATCCATCAATCCCAAACAATTCTAATTTGCTAACCAACCTGTCATATGGCACTCTTATCAAATGCTCTCTGAAAGTCCAAATATATAACATCCACAGCACTGCCCTCATCACCTGCCTGTGTCACCTCGTCAAAGAACTCAATAAAATTTGTCAGACATGACCTGGCCTTGTCAAAACCACACTGACTGTCTAGTACTAACTCATTTTTTCTCTAAATACATGTTTACATTTTTCCATATTATGGTCCCCATCAGTTTTCCCACTATTGATATTATGCTTACGGGTCTGTAGTTTCCTGAGTTATCCTTTGTCCCTTTCTTAAACAATACCATCACACTTGCAATCCTCCAGTCCACTGGGACTAATCCTGTGTTCAGAGAGGCCTGGAAACTTTCTGCCAATGACTCTGCGATTTGCTCCCTTACCTCTCACAGCAATCTAGGATGCATCCCATCCAGGCCCGGCAATTTCTCTACCTGAAGTGCTGCCAGTTTTTCTAGCACCTCTTCTTTATCTATCACTATACTGTTCAGTTTTTTAACACCCATATTTTCAACTAGACCATTATCACCACCTTCTAATTTGGAAGCAAAATATTCATTTAGTCCTTTGCTTCGGTGAGCAGTTTACCCTGCTTGTTCCTTTTTTGCCTCACTCTGTCCTTCACTGATCTTTTACTATTAATGCTTGAAGAATATTTTGCTATTTGTTTTGAGTAGCCTGCCATCTTTTCCTCGTGCATATTCTTAAACTTCCTTATTGCAGCCTTAGCCTCTGTCCTGTATTTCAGGTACTTTTCCAGATTCCAGTTGCTATTTTTATTCCATTATGCATCATATGCCTGCTTTTTCTTCCCTGTTTTCTCATCAATATCCTTAGTTATCCAGGGTACTCTAGCTTTGGACATCCTGAATTTATTTCTCATGGGTATGTACTTAGCTCGCAACTTTTCATCTCTCTTTTTTAAGTTCTCTCATTTCTTATCCACTTTTTTACCCACTAAAATGTATTTCCAAACAATATGCTTCAGTTCCATTTTTAGACCAGCAAAACCTTCTCCATTCCAGCCTGGGATCTTAAGCATTGACTGTTTATTCTTTATCCTTTTCCAACTTAATATTGAACCTTAATATGTTATGATGGCTATTTCCCAAAACCTCCCCCACTCTGACATTCTCCACTTGGCCTGCCTCATTTCCTAGCATAAGATCCAGCACAGATCCCTCCCTAGTAAGATTGGAAATGTTCTGTTCCAGAAAATTCTCCTGCATACACTGCAGGAGTTTCATCTCTTTTTGTGCTCCATACCCTACCCAGTTTACCCTCGGGTAATTGAAGTTACTGATTATCACAACCCGACTTGGTGAATGGGATCAAAGGTTATAGGGAGAAAGCAGGATTAGGCTATTGTGTTGGCCGATTAGATCCGATTGTGAAGAATGGCGGACCAGGTTTGAAGGGCCGAATGGCCTCCTCCTGCTCCTATCTTCCATGTTTCTATGTCCTGCAGATTTTCATAATTTGCTGACAAATGCTCTCTTCTATTTCCACCCCACTATTTTGAAGCTTACAATAAATACCCAAAATGAATTTGCATTTGAATTTAGAATTTATTGTCATGTACTTTTACAAGAAAAATACAATGAAAAGTATTATAACAGGATCACTGCTTATGTCCTAATAACTATTAAACTGCTCAAAAATTTACCAAACCTTTTAAATATAATAGACTTCAAGGTGCTTTAATTGCACTTATCTCATTTTCCACAGTTAAACTTTAATTCCTAAAGCAAAAAATTAAATACGAAAATCTATGAATTATGAGGTAGCTATTCACACCAAAACATACCACTGGCCTCTATGCCTATATTTATGGTACCTTGTAATGAAGCTCCATTTCAACCTTTAAGCCCCACAGTTTGTGCTTTTTATAATCTCCCAAGGCCAAAAGGCCTCTGTTACAAAATGTAGCGCAGTTTGTAGCACTGCCCAGGCCTATAAGTCCAATTATTGATCTCAAATCATAGCAAAGCAAGACAGGAAGCTTGATACACATTAATGACCTGAACTTGATTATAAAGAGCATAATTTGGAAAATTAAAGCCATTACACGATCTTCATAATACAGTGGTGAAGAGAAAAGTAGCAGGCTTTAGTAGGAAGTAGGTACAATGGTGAAATGGGAAGACACATAACAACAAATAAACTTAAGTGATGTACTTAGTGAAGCAACAAGTTTCACAGCAGTTCATAAGAGCAATTCCATTAATAATTTTCTTAACACAGAGCAACAGAAGGAGACATCAGAATAGATGCCTATAAGCTCAGTCAAAGAGATAAGTTTTTAAGGAGACAAAAATGAACACAAACAAGTGTGAGGTGATACATTTTGGTAAGAAGAATGAAGATATGGAACTTAAATGGTTGAATTTAAAAGGTTTTCAGGAATATAAACCAAAGGGTGCACACACACAAATGTTTGAAGATGACAGGAACATTGAGAAGGCTGTTTAAAAAATAAACACACAAAATGTTTGTCCATGCTAATAAACACAAACACAAGGAAGTTATATTCAACATTTACAAAGCACTGGTTACTCCTCGATTCTGTATTCAGTTCTGGTCATCACACTTTAGAAAGGCTACCACGGCCTTGGAAAGGACAGAGAAAAGATTTACTAGAATAGTTCCATGAATGAAAGTCTTCAATTTTGTGGTGGTACTACAGAGGATCAGTTGTTCTGCTTAAAGCAGGAAAGGATAAGTGAGAGGAAATTTGACAGAGATGTTCAAAATCCTGAAGTTGTTCATTAGAATAAACAGGGAGATAATGTTTCCATTGTGGAAAGGTCAATAAATAACGGTCAGAGGTGTAGGATGATTGGCAAAAATTCCAGAGGTGACACAAGGAAACATTAAAATATTATTATTTATCGCAATGAAGCTAGAAAACAAAGGGAAGGAAATTATCCTTCAGTTTTACAGAGCTTGGAAAGACAAAATCATAACTACTGCACTCAGTTTTGGACATAGGACTACAAGAAAAACCAGTTAGCCTTGGAATGGGAAGCAGAGCAGATTCACCAGCATAATACCAGGTTTAAAGGTTAAATTGTGGCTTGGATGGTCAAGAAATGATTACGTTAATTGTATAGATATCGGAAAATGATTTCCAATTTGTGGGGAGATCCAGAATAAGGGGCTTAATCATTAGAGCCAAGCCATTCAGGAGTGAAATCAGGAAGCACTTTTCTCAAAAATTGCTGTAAAGATTTGGAGCGTGGTCCCACAAAAGCTGTGGATGCTCTTGAAATGATCAAATGCTAAGTCAATTGAGTTTTATGAAACAAAGGTATTAAGAGATAAATGGAATTGAGTTACAGATCAATTAATTGCACGCCAGAATATGCTCAAAGGGCAGAATAGCCCAGTCCTATTCCTACATTCCCAGTAAGTTTTCATTACATTATATTAAGTAAATGTACTTGCAAATGTTTTACATAATATGGCATAGCACAATCTAAAGCTTGCAGAAAGGTCAGTGATATTCATTTATTTTGCAGTCCACTACAGTTCCTCCAAAGAAACCGGACCCTGTGACATCGGAAACTGTGGTTTTCTGGGGACTGCGGCTATGGCAGGTGATCGGAGTCTTCTCCATTTTCGTCTTGGCCGTGAGTAAGTCATTGCAAACAATTAGTTCTTGTTCTTATCAGTACTCACAAAATACGATCTGTTGGGATGTTAACTGAGGTGAAAAAAAGATGTGTCTCTGTTTCTCGCGCTCTAGATAAAAGAAATAGAGTAATACTTTTGGAGAACAGTCCTCATGGTGAGTGAAATACTGAAATATTAAAGTTGTATTATATTAAAGTTTTATTGAGGAGGTTTATATTTGCATAACACTTCTCATAATCTCTGGGTATCACAAAGCACTTTACAATAAATTAGTTATTTCTTAAAGTGTAACTCTTGTTGTAAGGTGGGGTGTTCAGCTAGTTCCAGCCAACAGAAATAGTTATAATACTTTTACTATGCTATTTCAGGGGAAATAAACTCCAGTTATTCAAAACTTTTTTACACAATCTTTTGCATTCATCTGAGAGAGCGGATAGAAGATGGATAGAGGAGAACAGCACCTCATATTTCGCTTGGGAACCCTGCAGCCCAATGGTATCAATGTGGACTTCACAAGCTTCAAAATCTCCCCTCCCCCTACCGCATCCCAAAAACAGCCCAGCTTGTCCCCGCCTCCCTAACCTGTCCTTCCTCCCACCTATCCCCTCCTCCCACCTCAAGCCCCACCCCCATCTCCTACCTACTAGCCTCATCCCGCCCCCTTGACCTGTCCGTCCTCCCTGGACTGACCTATCCCCTCCCTAACTCCCCACCTACACTCACCTTTACTGGCTCCATCCCCGCCTCTCTGACCTGTCTGTCTCCTCTCCACCTATCTTCTCCTCTATCCATCTTCTATCTGCCTCCCCCTCTCTCCCTATTTATTTCAGAACCCCCTTCCCCTCCCCCATTTCTGAAGAAGGGTCTAGGCCCGAAATGTCAGCTTTCCTGCTCCTCTGATGCTGCTTGGCCTGCTGTGTTCATCCAGCTCTATACCTTGTTAGCTCAGAAAATGTTGGAAATACGCAGTGGGTGAAATCTTACAGAAATCTGAGCGATGTGGGCTAGGGCGAGATTTGTGACAAAGTGAGATAAGAAGTCCATCAAGGTCCATCTCAATGTCAGAATGGGGCTGCCGGGGTAATGCAAGGAGAAATGGAGTCGTTAGGTGGGGTGGGGGTGGGGTACTTGTCAATTAGTTGGGGCCTGACATTGATGGTGTCTACTACGAGCTGCATTCCTTGCCATCACTCTCTGTTCTCTAGATGTGAAGTGCCAATAGAAAATGGCTGGGACAACGTCCAGGATAGGTGCAGGAAGTGTCACGTTGATGGGTGAAAGGATGTGGTCCGTGTAGACTGAATGCTAGGCCATTGAAAACACAAATACACAAATCAGTTATTTGCAAATGCCTGCTACATTGAATTTGCAATCATTTCATCACTAATTTGCTATATATGTTGAGTGATGGTGCTTAGGGGGTTCAGGTGAAGGCCAAGGATGATTTATAACTTGCCATTGTTGCTTGGAAATTGAACTTGGCCATCCAAAAGATTTTGAAGTTAGCGGTAATGATGTTTCAAAAGACTTGACCAAAAGTGAACTGTTATTCATCCAACTTCTAAGATGCTGAGTGAGCCACACAATGTTGCTTCATTATCTGTCATATAAGTATAATGACAGTCTGTACTGAATATAGTGAGAGGTTAAACATTTGCTGTGAATCTGGGATAAGAACAGTGTCAGAGGAGGACTGCAGGAACTCCCTCCTCAATGACATTAAGAGTCATTCAACCAGTACGCCACCTTCATCAAGTCGCCGCACGTGCTGAGCCTGAACCTGAAAGGATAATGGAAACATAACCTCTTTGTCAGGGTACAGCGTGTCTCACTATACCGAGGAAGTGTGCTTTGCCCTTATCTGCAAACTCTTTTGAGATCTTAAAACATCTTTCACTCCTTTTGTTCTGATTTTCGGTCTTTTCCACTGACCCCTGCCAAAAACGAAAAGCATGCTGGACCTGAAATGTTCATTTTATTCCTATCGCCACAGATCGCACCAGAGCTGCTGAGCTGGTCCAGCACTTTCTGCATTTATTTGAGCAAGTTATGTGCTTGTTTCTAAAGTCTCCAAGATTTATCAAGGAGGGTTAAATGAACAGAGACTTGAATTTAATACCTTGATACACATTGTTTAATTGCAAAGCCAACTTTTTGCTTAAGCTGGTGGCCTGAGTGAAGCTCTTAAGGAGAACTATCAGCACATTTATGAATATAACAAAGATAAGAACATTGTCAGGAATGTGGTTGTATAATTTGACCATGGGTTTGATTTTCAAATTGGGGTCAGGGTCACAACATAAAAACCAAAAGAACTGTGGATGCTGAAAATCAGGAACAAAAACAGAAGTTGCTGGAAAGGCTCAGCAGATCTGGCAGCATCTGTGAAGAAAATCAGACCCAAAACATTAACTCTGATTTTATTCTTCACAGGTGCTGCCAGACCTGCTTTTCTAGCAACTTCTGTTTTTGTTCAGGATCACAACAATTTGTGAATTTCCTGACATGTTTAGTCTCATGCTCTTTTTTTAACCTCTTAATCAATCTCTTGTTCCTCTTTTAGTGAATTTTAAACTACTCCCAGTTCTCAATCTTGTTACTTCTTCTAGTAACTTTATGTGACTCCTCTGGATCTAATACTATCCTTAATTTCTTTTGTTAGTCAGGGTCAAGCCACTTTTCCAACGGTGTTCTTTCACCCAAAAATAGAGCATAACTGTTGTGATGCATATCATCATTCCTTCAATACTAATCCTTGTCATGTCTTTTAATGAAGTTAACCAGATGATTGTAGCTAACTCACCCCTTGTACCTTGGTAGTTTTAGGATGATGGTTTCAGATTGGCCTATAGTATTTCGCTTCCTATTTAAATGGACAATTCTATTATGTTATGGTCATTTTTTAAAAAGGGCCTCTCACAACAAGATTAATGAATAAGGTGAAAAACAGAACATGCTGGAGAAAATCAACAGGATCTAACAGCATCTGTGGAGGGTAAAACAAAGTAAATGTTTCATTTGTCAAGTCTCATAGAAACAGAATTAAATAAACATAGAGCAGGAGCAGGCATACTAACAGGAATAGGAACGGAGTAAGGTTGATCAGTAAATTGGTGGACAATATGAAAATTGGTGGGTTGGTAAATAGTAAGGAGGATAGCCTTAGATTACAGCAGGTTATAGGCAGTCTGGTCAGATGGGCTGATCAGTAAAAAAATGTAATTCAATGCAGATAAGTGTGAGGTGATACCTTTGGGCAGGACAAACAAGGCAAGGGAATACATGATGAATAGTAGGACTCTTGGGAGCATCAACAATCAGGGATACATGTCCACTGGTCTCTTAGGGGAGCAGGTAACTAAAGCAGTTAAGAAGGCATATTTGCCATTATTAGCCAAGGTATCGAGTTTAAAAGTAGGGTGGTAATGTTGGAACTGTACAAAACTCTGGTTAGTCCTCAGCTAGAATATTATGTACAGTTCTGAAATTCACATTGTAGGGGCGATGTGATTGCACTGGAGAGGGTGCAAAGGAGATTTACCAGGATGTTGCCTGGGCTGGAGAGTTTTACTTATGAAGAGAGATTAGATCGACTGGGGCTGTTTTCCTTGGAGCAGAGGAGACTAACTGAGCACATGGTTCAGATCTGTAATATAATAGGGGCATAGAGAGGGTAAAAATGAAGAGACTTTTCCCCTAGGTGGAGTGATTAATAACCAGGTGTCATAGATTTACAGTAATGGGCAGAAGATTTATTCAGGATATGAAGAAATGTTTTTCACTCAGATGGTGGTCTGGTTGAGAATTTGGAACTTGCTACCTAAAAGGATGTAGAGGCAAAAACCCACATAACGTTTAAGAAGTATTTAGACATGCAGTTGCAACACCAAGGCATACAAGACTATGGGCCAAGTGCTGGAAAATGGGATTAGAATGGTTAGGTGCTTATTTTTGACTGGCACAGACTTGAACACTGAAGGGCTTTTTTCTGTGCTATGGTAGAGCTCTATAACTCAATGACTCTGAGTAGGAGAGTCGGCTCTTTGAGTCTGCTCCACCATTCAATATAAACCAGGCTGATCATCCAACTCAGTGCCTTGTTCCCACTTTCCACCCATACCCTTTGATCCCTTTGGCCCCAAAAACTATATCTAAATCCTTGAAAATGTTCAGTGTTTTAGCTACAACTACTGTCCATAGAAAGAGTTCCATGGGCTCACCATTCTTTAGATGAAGAAATTTCTTTTCATCCTGGTTTAAGATGACCTACCCTGTATCCTCAGACAATGACCTCCAATTCTTCTTGATATCTAATTGTTATTTAACATTCTTCTCACCCCTCACACTCAAATCTAGTATTGCCCGTTCCTGGTGAGTTCCTCAATGTACTGGCCAGATCTTTGTGCACTCACGTACCTCACTATATCCCTTTGTAACATCCTTATGTCCTCTTCACAGCAAATCTTTCTGCATATTTTGATGTCATCAACAAATTTAGCGAATGTTCTTTGATCCTTTCATCTAAGTCATTTATAAACATCTCAAAAGTTGGGCCATCAGCACTACTCCCTGTGGCATGCCATTCATTATATATTGCCAACCAGAAATGATGCGTTTATGCATACTCTTCATTTTTCCTCCCATACCAATATATTACTCCTACTTTTTATTTCTCTTTCTTCTTGCAATAACCTCTGATTTGACATTTTATCACTTGGAAATCCAAGTATATTACATCTATAGGCTCCCCTGTGTCTACAGTGCATGTTACTCTTTCAAAGGACTCCAACAATTGGTTAAACACAATTTTCCTTTGACAAAACAATGCTGACTCTTCCCAATTTCCTTGAGCTTTTCTAAGTGGGCAACTATAATCTCTTTAATGATTGATTCTAACATATTCCCCATGATAGACTAACTAACTGAACCCATACGTTCCTTTTTTCTGCAGTACTCCCTGTTTAAATAATGGATTTACATCTGGTGTGTTCCAATCACTTCTTTTAAGACTCTCTCCCATAATTCCTTAGTAAAGAGAACTTTAGAAGAATATGGTAAAGACCTCTACAATGTTCTCAGCTACTTCAAAATCCCTAGAGGAAATTATATACTCCTGAATATTTGTCACTCTTTCATGTTATTTTCTCTTTAGTT